GTGGTACCCATAACTGAACACAACACTCCAGATGTAGTCTGTCCGTGACAGAGTGAAATGGGACAACTGTGCACTTCACTCTAGCCTGTGTTTCTCTTAATGTAGCCCAAGATCACACAGTTGACTTACCCTGAGCCTACAGTCCGCTAACACTTCCAATTCTTCACATGAACACCCAGACACATCTGCTCAAACTGTATTGAACAGCTGGTTTTTGAGCCTATGTGTAGAACTTTAAATCGATCCTTGTTCCAACCTGCTGAGATCTTGTTGGATCCTGCTAGTCAATGTATTAGCTAATCCTCCCATCTTCGGGTCACCCACACATTATATCAGTCTGCCACCTAAGCCTTCACCCATGTGATTAATAAAAATGTTCAACAAAACAGAGCGAAGGAGAGAGCCCTGTAACATGGCATTAGAAATCTCACCTCCAGCTACCATAACAACCAATGCTATTTAGTGCTACAACAGACTATGTACTTCCAACAAGTCTTTACAGTAGGAAAGACACACTTAGGCTAGCTAAGTATACGGGATCTACTGTCAGTCAGTTCTATCGCTCTAAAGAGCACCAGTTACATGGGCAAACTACAACTGAACAAACACAGCAGCACTAACTAAAGAGGAAGTTTGGGTTAAGGGTGAGGTATTTCTGGGTCATCAAGAGGTGAAGCATTTGGGGGAATTTCTAGGGCAGCTGCAGCTCACCATTACATTTAAACTTAATCTGAGTCATTCGTATCGTAATCCGTCTCCTCATCTTCACTCTGGTTCAGCACGCAGCATGCAGCAAGTACAGAGAAGGGATTAGTGCAGGGAGAGAGGGGAGAAAAGACAGCAAAGTTTAGTCAACAGCCATGGCATAGGAATACAATTAGTCAACATATAAGAGTGTCTTCTGTTATTCAAAAGCTGGTGTGGAGAAGTAGTACCCAAGGGATCTTTCACAGTTTCTAACAGAAAGGGCTGGCTGAAAAATGAAGGAAAGTGAAAACAACTTTTTAATAGGAAAAATACTTCTGTTTTCCATCATGCACAGAACAACTAAACTACCTCTGGAAGCCTTAGTGATCACCAGTTTTTGCAATCACCATACTCGTGTGAGTCACTTGCTCACAAAGCCCCATACTTCTTCAAACTGAAAAAATAAAGATTATACATGCACAGGCTGGAGAAGGGTTTTGTGGTTACAGCGTCTACTCCTATATCCCACCTTTTTATAAAATAAAATCACATTTCAAACACATTGGCACATCTTAGTCAAAGAGGCCAAAATAACTGCTTCTCTTTCTGCTAAGGTAAGTCAGGCAAGGTTACAGCTACTGTCCCTGTCCTGATTTCTTTTATAAATCTTACAAACATTTATTTTCTCAGCATTAGTCTTCTCCCATAAGGAACTTAACTTATCACTTTCCCCCAAAACTCAGAGACAAAGAAAATATTTTGTCAAATTAAATTTGATTTATCAAATGCAACTGTGAAGTACTAATATGAGGAAAGTAGAATTAAAACAGGAGTGAACAACAATTTTTTTATATTAACAAAGAAGCAAGAAAACATGTAAATGTATTTCAAAACACTATGTAAATTTTTAAGGTGTAGTATTTTCTCAGCTCCCCATTTGTCCAAAAGAATGTCAAAAAAATCCACTTTCCTTTCTGAGCTAGCTCTGATCATGAACTAGCAATTTTTCATAAGTCCTAGAACATGCCTGTTGTGGCTGATGCCCTAGTTTAGCAGAGGTGCTAGGATACTGTTCACAAAGCTTAGATATTTTTGGATAGAGAGTTACTTTTTTTTTTTAATGGCATAAAAGTGAACTTGGGTCACACCTTGGGCCTCCTAACAACTGCTCCCATACATTTCACAGCTAGAAGCCACCTGAACCATGTATATGTGTGTGTGTGTGTGGTGTGTGTGTGTGTGTGTGTGTGTGTGTGTGTGTGTGTGTGTAGGGGGGCGGAAAGGGAACATGTTTTAAAGATTGCAAGTAAAACACATCTTTGTTTCACTAGCACAATATATACACAACATCCTTATAATGGTGCAACATGAGAAAATGCATCTTTCTAACTCCGAACTTTGAAAATTTTTGGAAGCATGCCATCCTAAATCCAATCTGAGAAGGAAACAAAAACCCTAATACAGGGAGAGTAGAGTGCTTTACCTGGTCATCAGTTTGTTCTTCCTTAAAGGCCTCCCAAAGGAAGGTGGCCTCAATACCAGAGCAAATTAACATCAGTTCTTAAAAGCAACTGAAGGCCTGTCCAAATAGGCTATTTTGTCTCCCCCTCACTACCCAGTAACTCCAGGAAAATAGTACTGCCTAATTCAGTAATGGAACAGCCTCATTATACATCATTTACTGTAGCTGACCTTGCCTAAAGCTCTAACCTGATCCATATAGTTGTTGTGAAGACCAAGCAAACGACTGGGGCTCATTTGGACCAATTAGGTCTCATGCAAACTTGAGGTCAGTTCACAAAGATGTTTCTTTTTTTTTTTTTTTTTTTTTAAGGCAATTGGGGTTAAGTGACTTGCCCAGGGTCACACAGCTAGTAAGTTTCAAGTGTTTGGTCTGAGGCTGGATTTGAACTCAGGTCCTCCTGACTTCAGTGCCAGTGTTCTATACACTGTGCCACCTAGCTGCCCCTACAAAGATGTTTCTAAACAGACTTCTAACAACATACAAAAAGCCACAAAATTTAAGATTCTGAGATTGACATGCCAGCTTTTTAATCATATAATACAGTATTGGTCCAAATATAGGCTGCATTTCCCCCCTTAATTAGCATGCATAAAAACTGTGACCTATAATTTGCATATCTACATACAATTTTAGCTTTCAAAATCTTTTTCTTTTGGGGTTATGGAATAAATACGACAATTGGTCTATATATCTTCTTGCATTTCCTATACTAAATAGAAAGATTCAGAATTCAAATCTGTGAAAGTGGCTCATTCCACTTTCGTGTTCCTTGGAATCTCTTCCCCTTCCTAACCTAGTAAAATCTCAACCATACTTTGAGATCTAAGGTACATTATTATACCTGCAAGAAACTTTCTGTCTACTTCAATCCAAAGTTTTATCTCCATTCTCTGAATTACTTCTGTACTTATTAACTATGACAAATATTTTGGCATGTCAATCATATAATGCCTGTTTGATATGTGTAAGACATCTCTTCAGCAAAATATCCACTACAACTAATTCGAAGGATACAACTGTAACATGAACACTTGTTGATTCACCTCAGACCCACATGTGCTCTCTGTGCACGTGGCCAAATGGAAAAATAAAACATCTCAAGTCCATAAATTGTTCTTTGCAAGAAGTATCATGATGTAGGCTCATTCTAGACTCCACTAACAACCAGACTGCACGATAACCCTCAAAATTTTGGTTGCCAATTCCAACTCCCTGCCCACTGGGGATGAGTAACACATTTAAGAAATAGGTGGTCATTCAGTCTCTAACTTGAATACCTCTAGTTATAGGGGACTCACTGGAGCTACCCATGAAGCAGAGCATACCATCTTTAGACAGCAGTAATTACAGAAATTGGAATTTACAGAGGATTACAGGAAAGGGCAGAAACTTAAAATAACTACCTATTTACAGCAGCTGGTACTCAAATACAAGACTATAAGCATATGCTAATGATGTACGTAAGGTTCTATGGGCAACGAACAAAATACCAAGTTTTTGTACAAGTTAAGTCTGGCTTGAATAGTTTGCCAACCATTTTGGTGGTTTTCAGGTACAAAAAAGGTATCCTTCAGCCCCTAAGGTAAAACACTTATACACTTCTGATATTATTTACAGAAATACATCCTATATTTCCCTACTGTCAGACATTCTCACTGTTTGAGATCTGCCTACAGAAAGCAAGGGCTCCCTTACCAAACGAGAAAGAATTGCAGAGCTTTTGCAGAACCCATGCTTACCTAGGTAAACAAATTTGGAAGATTCCATTTCTAGAGGTAACTGAAACAGGCTTTTAGGTTATATGCAAAAAGATGCTGGATAAACGGGTTGGTCTTAGAAGCTAGAAGTTGGCCACGTGATATGGTAGAACAAGCACTTGACCTGTAGACAGGAATCTTGGGTTCAAGCCCCAGCCTTACTATTAACCACCGGTATAACCTAGGCTGAGCCATTCCTTTCCCCAAGCCTCAGTTCCCTCATCAATAACACAGATAGACTACTACTAGTACTACTTCACAGATTTGTTGTGAGGATCAAAGAGGTAATGAACGTAAAACAGTATGTACATACAAGCTGTCACTACTAGCATGATCAGATAAGAACACTTCCCCATAGCGTCTGATAATAAATAGAATTGTTTTAGGAAAACTGCCATCTTGTAGATAATGTGATGACTATAGGGCAATGGAAAAAAGGAACATTAACATAAGTGGGCAGATCAGAAAGGTCAGCAACTAAATGCTAACAGTAAGATGAAATAAAGCTAATAATACTTGGGGGGGGACTGTATTTTTTAAAATAAGTACTTTATGAAAAGCATCCTTGTGTAATGGACAGAGAACTGACCCTCAAAGTCAGGAAGACTTGGGGGTTCATGTCCCACAAATAGCACATCCTGACTGTGTGAGCCTGGGCAAATCACTGGAGCACCTCTCACTGTTCTAGGCAACTCTGCTAAAGGAAGAGCTGCAGAGAAGGGAGTTCCCCCTTCCAGTACAATCACATGTCTCCAAACCAAGTATTCTTACAGGCCATCACGACAGTTAGAAATTACGACACTTTTTTTTTTTGGTAGTCTATAATTCCTGAAGGTAAGACGTTCAGAGATCTAGGATTACACAGCGAATGCATAGTGACTATACCTTCTCTCCATAAGATACATAAGTCCCCCCATGAGGCCTTCATGAATTGCTGTGACCCCCAAAAACTCATTCTTAGTGGCCCACCTTCTGGTAATGACCTCCTGGCACTCAATGTCCCTTTCTCTCCCTCTTCCCCAATAACCTACCTTTGCCTTTTCGCTGGGTTCACTGGTTGTGCCATAAGAGGTATTATGCAACTCCTTGGAGACAACACAAAGAAATTCAGCTTGGTCTTCATTTCCATAGTTATAAGATGAACCAATACTGACCAGCTAGAAGAAGATAAACAGTGAGTCATCTATCAGTAGAAAAAGAAATTCTTCCTTTTCTCTTCACCTCATCATTGACCAATTCAATGACCTCTGCCCCCAGGAAAGAACCCAAAGCTGACCCATAACCCCTGGAGACCTCTGCTATTGGAATATTATCTATTCCAGGGTAAGGTCTACTTCTCAGGTGTATTAGGTAGCCCTTTCAGTTAGTCAACACCCCCAGGAGATCAGATTACAGTTTATCTAAAATATACCTCAAGTAAATAGAGAAATCAAGGAGAAAGAATGCTTTGGAGAAGATGTTTTTAATGAATACATGGAAAACAACTTCTTTAAGTATACACACACAAATTCCCCCTTCTCAGGGCCATATCATTTATTTTTAACGTGTCAGGGCATGCTCTTTCCCCCACTGGAACATTCAGCTTTATAATTAGCTCAATTTTTCTAATTGGACCAGGAGGAGACCATTCAACACCACAAGGGAGATTGGGGAGGAAGGACAAAGAGGACGAGGGATAAAAGCAATAAGAGGATGTTTTAAGTGATCCGGCCATTCAGCAATCAGGTCTAGGGTAGCAACTGAACCACACGTCTAAGCAAGACAATGCCATCCAAGCAGTACACCCCGGAGGCTGCTCCAAAACATGAATGGTACACAAACAAGTTAGTAACAGAACTGTTCTATTTGTTCTTCTTTACAAGTCATTACTGTAGAACTCTGTGAGTTTTCTAGCCCCAAGGTCAGAAAATGCAGAGGGAATCACAGAGTGGTTTCCCCAAGGATTTGAAGAGTAAGTTGTATCAGCGATGCCATACCACCAGTGTGTGCCTTCACTTAAGAGTTGATGGGGTACAGTGGGAAAAGTAAAGAACCAGCGGTCAGGAACACCAGATTCAAGTCTTGGCTCGCTCATGGTAACTTAATATGTGGCCATGGGCACACTGGGCCCTCAACTCTGGGCCTCAATCTCCTCCGCTACAAAATAAGGAAATTGGACTACACAATTTCCTTTTAGCTCTAACATCTTATGATTCTATGAAGCTGCAATGAATCTTTGGCTCAGGTAGTATCAGGAACATTAGCGTAGGAAAAAATCTTCACGCTGAAAACCTTTCCATATTTTCTTCTAAGGTGTGGGCATCAGGAAACAATTCTGAGCCACATAAAAAGATCGAGCTGTTTGCACTAGCAGTCTACATCCATCCATCAGACAACTTGTGAGCTCCTTGAGGGCAGGGACTGCACTGCTTTTATTTTTATAACCCCAGCTCCCAGCACTCAGTAGGTATATGAGGAATATTTGTTCAATTAAGCTGAACTTTTTATTATGGAGCAGAAAAACCCTCAGATGGGAAGAAACATCCAAAGGAGGGGGAGGTCAGACCTGAAGCATGAGTTTGTGGGCTTCCCCAATAAACCTTGGGAGCACTGATCTTAAGTCAGTCAGTACAGCACAGAAGCTGTCTCTGTTATGGGGACCCAAAGAGAAAAGAAGGTATTTTCAGTCAAATTTCCTTCTAGAGGTCAAAAGATAAGCATAGATTTTGCCCTAAAACTAAGGGTGTGTCCTTAAACTAGCTTCAGAAAAAACTTGGACTATGTCCATTTCATAGACAAAAATAAGCCTCCTCAAAGGATAAGAAGAACTGCATATTAAACATTAAACTTGCAGCAAGAATCAGTGGCATATTTGCTTAGCTCCAGAGTGGGCTCCTCCAGGGTAATAAATTATACTTGCATTAGGCACATGCTAAGTGGCCTAGAAGAAGGGCAGCCAGTACAACTCTGGCCAATTCCAAAAGTGGTCACAATACAGGAGTACTTCAGTGTATCAGAGACTAAAACCAATACTTCAGTGGCAGTAAATCCATATCCTCATAAAGGGACAGGGATAAAAGCAGATGATACACAAGCTGGGTGGAAGAACGTGAAACTGCCGAACTCTCTACTACACTGGGAATGTGTGAAAAGAAAGTGAGACAAAAAGTAGGAAGAACAGGCAGGGAGTGAAACATTTTAGTGAGCTCTCCTTTCATTTGAGGGAACTGAAGTTAAAATCTTGGCAAAGTTAATAATAACTATTTTGGTGTCAGTCTTCCTTTGTACTCCTCAGAAAACCACGCAACAATCTGCTGTCTCTCCTCCAAAAGAAGGAAAGAACAGCAGGGGTAGCTGCTGCCCGACTGGCAGCAGAGAAGGATGAAAAGAACGGGGCCTGGGTGCAGAAGGGCCTTAAGATATAGAGAAACCACTTTACATCCCTGCTTTAAAACAGAGGCTACATTAGCACCACACTCTCAGAGTCAGAAGGGACCTTGGTGAAGCACGGATCTATCCCTGACAAGTAGGCATCCAGCTTTTGCTTGAATTCCTTCAGGAGTAAAGAACTCACTACCTCCCATCCTCCCCCAATCCCGCCCCTCCCCCCCACTTGAGGCAGCTCATTCACTGCTCAACAGCAAAGATGGTTATAAAGCTCCCCCTTATACCAAGTTAAAACCTCTCTCCCCTCCACTGCCATCCATTAGTGAGGATTATGGCTTCTGGGAAAAACCAGATTAAATCTACTCCCAAATAAAGCCCTACATTGGAGAATACAGATGTTCTCAAATAAAGAAACGGAGGAAAAATTTACCTATTAACCAATTTTATTATGTTCAGGAAGTCTGAAATCAAGGTCTAGGCTGCTTCTGTGCATGTGAACAAATCACATGCATTCTATAGCCCTCAATTTCCCCCTCTATAGAAAGAAAAGGTTTGAACTAGTTAATCACAACAACCAGCTCTACTACACTATATGATTCCTTATTCTAGATCATGGAGGTGTCAGCTTACAAGAGATGGGGTTACGCCCCCTACCCCAGGACAGGTACAGGCGCAGGACCCTCAACATCAAAACAGTCTTTCCTCCTCAGTGTCTATTAGTGCTTGGCCAAGGCCCAGATATTGATCTATAAGGCCCAGAAAGATGGCCCCACTCTGCCTTAAATGACAGCTCCTTAGATGGTACTTCAATCTGAGAGTCTTAGCTCTTCATTTCCAGGAATTATAACATTTCCAACTAAACTAATTATAACTTTTCTAAATAAACTAATATATTATTGTTGTCCCCAGGCTATGCTGGAAGGAACTGAAGAATGAGCTAGGAAAAGCCTATATAAAGACTCTGACTTGGAATTCAGAAGATAAAAACAACCTATTTCCCCCAAAGAAGTTCTATGGACAGATACCCACTGCCTTTGCCAAGATGTAGTGACGAAAGATGCTTCAAGTAATGAGGATAATTCTTCCTTCAGCTCTTGCCAAAAATCACACAGCCAAACTGACGAGGCAGCACTGTGAGAAGTGCAACATCAACATCAAAAGACTCAGATTTGTCTGACCTAATTCAGAGAAGACGATCTGACATTCACATAATTCTGTCTTCAGAAAGAACTTCTTTGGGTAAGAAATGTGCTAATGTTTTGATATAAGATGACTAACACCATGGTTGATGACTATTGAGACAGCTATTTTTGTTGAATTCTCTGGCTTTCTCTGAATAGCCCAGAATCTTGAAGAACATAATAAATGCAAAATTATGGAAATTGCAGATACAAAACTCCAGCTAGAGTGTTCAACATGGTTCAATAGGAACCATGTTAAACCAGTTTAAGTGCAAGAAGAGAATTAACTTCATTATGGTAAGTGGGCAATAGACAAAGATGCAATTTATATGCTGAGGGTAACTAATAAATAATACCAGTTTGGGGTAGGGCCAGTAAGAAAAGAGAACAAAACCCTTCAACCCTTCAACAGGTTCATTGCATTTTAGCTTCAATATGGTTGAAGAGGTTAGGTGCCCAGAAATATAGGGCAGCACAGCAGAAAGAGCAATGGCTTTGGAGTCATTCAACCTGGGTTTCAGTCCTAGCTAAGCAAAAAATTTAAGATAATGACTATGTGAATTGCCACAGGCTTCTTCACAAATAATAAAAATCTGGGAAAAAATCTGGAGCTTTGTCAAACCAGAAACAAAGGAAATTAAAGTTTCCTTCAGGCCTTCAACCTTTTAATCCAGTTTGACTAAACTGATGTTTTTAGATTATTGATGGATTTCAATTATGCATCCTATTCCTGGATTACTACACTTGGTTACTATAGATAAGAATGAGTCTTGAACTACAAATAGCTCAAAACAAATAAAAATCTGCTGGAGAATAGAGAACTGACTAGAAGATGCTGTGACAAATGCCTAGACTGGACTTAGAGAACCAGAGTTAGCAATAAGCTAACTTTGAGAGGCATAAAATGGAGTTTTCATGGGAATGAACTTGAAGAAGAATCAACTGCTCTCTCACCGAACTAACCCTTTCAGCCTCATCACCTTATTTCAAGCACCACTATTTACACGACGATCATCCAGGCCAACCAGTACCTGAGCAGGAAGGCCCTTTACAACATCCAGCACAAGAGGTCAACCAAGTAGCCTCCAAATGAGCCCCTCTTCAGGAACCACTGAGGTTCTTCAAATGGGGAGGCTGGTGTGGTATAGCTGAAAGAGTGATGGATGTGTGTGTCAAGACAGAACCAGGTTCAAGTCTCTGTCCATGACATGGCCTAGATACACATCCATGGGCAAGTCATGTGACTTCTCATAAGCTGGAAAAACCATTTGTAATACCTCACAGCCTTGTTGTAAGGATCAAACAGGATTTTTAAAAAATACTTAGCAAACCTTACAACACTACATAAATTTGGTTGTTGTTGTTACAGTTACTGCTGTTATCTCCACTTCAGGTAGGGGCTAGAAGTCCCTTTTAGCTCTGAGAGTCTCTGATTCTATGAGCATATACTCACCGTGCAGCAAAAGCCACACAAAATCACAGTCTGAGAGAAGACACACAATAAGGTTAAGTAACATGCAGAACTTAGATTCCTAAGATTTTCATTCTCGAAAAGGCCTTTTCTTTTCCTTTATAAGATGAACATTTATAAGGTACAATTAAATCCCACAGACTAAAAGAAAGTGATAAGAAGCCAATGCACCTAAGGAAGCTGTGTAACCTGGAAGCAGCAAAAAAAAGGAAAAAAATTTAAATGCAAGGCATTCATTCATGCAGGTTGTGGCAAGATGGGCTTGGTAGGGGGTGGAATGGTGGGACACACCTCACTGCAGCATTTCTGGAAACGTGTCTCCTCCCCTGTCACTTCCCGAGACACTATCAGCAGAAACTCTGACTGGTGGTGCCGGCCATAGCCAAAGGCAGGACCTATACTGACAAGCTGCAACAACCAATCAGAGCAAAACACAAACAGAAATCTTGGTGACGCTATAGCATTCAATGCCCCCTGTGTCACAAAAGGTATTGTCAACCTCTGTGACCCACATCCTTCTCAATGGTCATGAACATGCAAAATTTCCCAGAACAAGGATTCCAATGGTATTTCAGTGTGTGCAAACCCCTTGTATACCATTACAATGGGAAGACAGTCAGAAAATAAATTCTAATTGCCTTTGTCCCCCTTCCCCAAGTTTGATTTTAATGGCAAATCAGAGCACTCTACAAATACGTTCAATTACTTCAAATGACTTGGGGGTAAATTATCCCTTAACTAGGAAAGATGCTGTGGGAAACCAGTAACATTCTTCTTCCTGGGCAACGTAAGCAGGAAAACATAGCCTGCAGGAGTTGTAATAACACAGGACCAGACTACTTTAAGATGCAAAAGAGTACCTAAAAGAAATTATCAATAGGATGGTCTTCCTGAAGCCCCAAAATACACCCCCCACACACTAGTCTGTAATCTTTCTGAGGCAGGTAGTTCCATCCTCACTACCATGGATGCCTAGTTCAGTGTCTTATTATAACAGGCATTCCATAAATAGCTACGGAATTGAACTGAAAGATGGGTCACTGAGAGCTTTAAGTCAAGACCATGATTTTTTTCCTAGGTAACCAATAGCTCTTTGGTGGGGTGGAGGGGAATCACTTAAAATTGAGCATCTTGGTTTCTCTGCATAAAAAATTGAAATAGAAATTATAGAATCATAAAAAAAAATTGTACTCTCAAAAGCAACAAGCAAGCATATGGATAAAGAAAAATTACTGAAGACTATGCAAATGATAAAGGAAATAATGACAAATCATCACAGTGTGATGCATGGAAACAATCTAGGATGAGAAGGAAAGGCAAGGAAAGAATATGGAGCCAGTATATAAAAAGTGAAAATCCATAGAAACAATTTTTAGCAGAACAAATAAAAGGGGACAAGAGTAGCACATGGTGACTTATTTGGCAAACTAATTTTACTAATAAAGAAGACAGCAAAATATTCAGTGACAAGCAACAAGAAAGTAAACACAAAGAAGGAAGGGCATTTGACTTATACCAAGGACATAAAAGAATGGAAGAGAACCAAAGCAAAAAGTATTCCCCCCAACTCCCATAGCTGAAGTCATCAAAATTCAGCACTGTTCCCTTTAGGGGAAGGGCAGAATGAAGGGGAAGAGAAAAGAGAGGGCAGGGCAGAGAAAAGAGGAAAGGGAGAAGGAGGGGGAGAGGAGAGACCAACTAGGGAAGAAGTCATCATAGTTTATTTCATTTCCATTAAGGAGGCATTACTAAGAATGGAACAGATTGAGGAGAAGCAGAAAGGGAGAACACAAATGCTTTGAAATCGGCACATTAAGAAAGGAGCTTACAAAGATACTGCAGAGCAACAAAAAAGGATGAGATTTCCCTAAATTGAAAGGCAGCAGTTTTTTCCCATTTCTGATATCATGGCTAATTCAACTGGGAAAGACAGTAAAGGTGTTTGTTTTGTTTTCTTTTAATTCTCTATTTGCTGGCTTAAAGCACCTGAACCTTAAGATACACCTTACTTCCAGGAATCATTAAAGTAGTAATGAGGATATCTGAGGTGGAATACTCCATAACCAGTCCCTTGAGCCACCAGCCATTAAAACACAATACCTTTGTAATTAGAGTTCAGAAAAGTTTATAATTTAAAACAGTATTATAGATAATTCAAACCATTCCAATTCTGTTACATTAAGAAAAAGAAAAATAACCTCCAATCTCCTCAACATTCCTCTTTACCTGCTCAAACTTCCAGCCATCAGACATGGTTGAAACCATTTGGGTGAGTTCTTCCTCTTGACATTGAAGCACTCTGTAGACATGCTTGACTGGCACCTATCAAAGAAAAATGCCATGTATTCAAAAAACTTGTATATCTACAATCATCAGGAGTTACCATTTCTTCCACCTGGTATCTACAAACAACAACAGTTAGGCAACGAACTTTTAAATTCAGGTGTTACCTTGGTATCTTTGGGGCCTGGTGAAATACAAAGCTGAAGTTAGAATAAAAGGAATGTATTCACAAGTACCACAAGATCAGAAGTAATATTAGTGATAGTGGCTTTTCTTTCTACTCTTCTTATTTCTCCTTTGAAAATATTTCTACCCAGTCATTTCAAAATGAAAAAAAAAAAAACACAATGTTCCCAAATTCATAGGGCTCCTACAGCTGGAAATGATCGTACAAGCACTCAAGTTTATTTTAGTTCCAGAGAGAAAATTATCAGGTAAATAATCCTTTGAAATTGCCAGTAAATAATTCAATTATTAAGACCCTAGAAATCTTCTAAATATGTAGTCTCCTCCATCAGAATGTGAGTTTTTTGACAGCAGCGACTATCTTGCTTTTTTGATTTCTATCCCCAGTGCTTGGCAAAGTAATTTGTACATAGCAGGTGCTTAATAAATGCTTCATTCATTCATGTAATGTTAGCAATCAATATACTTTATTCCTACCATTTTAAAAAATGTCAAGTCTCAGGGAATTACGGATACACTGAACCGTTCCTATATTCTAACATAGCTTTCTATTTTTTAAAGACACAAAAAGTTAGTATGGAAAAACTTTTTTTTTTGTGAATTAGTTCTCTAGTAATTAGCTATGAACTCCAGGTATAAGCATAATTCAAACTATAATGACTACTAGATACTATAGAAATGCATTCCTCTTTATGTGACCAGGCCAGGCCAGGCCAGGAGTATTTGGTTCTTATTAGTGGGAAATGCCATAACCTAGAAATCTAACCTGTCCCCATACTGTGGATTCCTATTGAAAATCAGAATAGAAGAATGGAATGACCAATGGGTAAGCAAAATTACGCCCATCCTGGATGTCCCATGAGAAGGGCTCACTGAGCTTCTCTGGTTGCTACATTAAGGACCTCTAAGGGCTAGCAACTAGAAATCACCTGCTTCAAGGTATCACAGCTTCTAAAATAAGGACTTCAACCTGAGAGCTGCCTAACAGGAAAGGATTCATGATGGCTAAGTACTTTGTTGCTATACACCTTATTCTATCTCCTCATTTTCACTGATTCTTATATTGAGGTCCTGTCTAATTACAATACAAATGGGGTCTCTTAATGTGTAAGGAAATGAATGGGGAACAAAGGGGGGGGAACCTAGATGAGCTTAGCCCAATTAACTAGAAATAATGAAGATGGCCTCCTTTTGAAAGTAAATTTATCTCCTAAAGAATGGTGGAACAGGAAAAAGAGAAAAAATAAAAACTTGTGGAAGCAGACATATGTACAAAATTACTCGTTACCTCATACATATTCATATCAATGTACATTTTAAAAAATAAGCAACATACTTTTACAATAACGGCAATCTGAAGGAAATGGAAAGTGAAAAAGATCCTGTGGCTGAAAAGTAACCCTTGTATTGCTTTTATAATGATATCAGTGAGTTGGATTTCTAGAGCATCTTTTTTCCCAATAGTTCATAGTACTCTGAGGTAGTCCCCAATTTACCAATGGATTATATGCCAAATGTTCAATTCTAATCCAGTTACATATCCAGAAACTCAGGAAACAGTTTCTCCAGAAACAATGCTATGAAGGGTAGTTTCCCAGATCAGTCCATTATCTTACCCATAATGCAATGGAATATTTTATCCTAAGTTTTTTTAATTGACAATGCCAACCATACAGCCACCCCCATCTTTACACCCCACAAAAGCCCCTTCCAAACCAGCAATAAGGATTCTTCCTCTTTCCTTCGTCTATACAACTATAGCACCCTCCAGAGTCCTATGAAGGAAAGGAGAGGGTTCTGGTGGTCAGAATGGAAGATCCAATGGCTTCTAGGATGACATGAGATCCATGGAGGAGGGAGAGTAAATGGAACAGCATAAGAAAAGACAATGGGAAAAAGGGCTCCTGATACCACTGGGTATAACAGGGGCAGAATAAGGACAGAAGCCAGAGATGGCTGAGGTACCCGTGAGACAGGTGGGCAAGTTTTCCAAAAGCTAAGCTTACTGACACGTAAGGGCTCTCAAAGGAGAAAGGATGAGGGCTTTCAAGGCAAACAAGGTAACAATGCTGCTACAACAGAGATGTATGGGAAGAGGGATTGGGGTAGTAGCTATTCATGAACAGGGATTTTGTATATATTGAGTTTTCTCAGGTAGAGTAAACTTTATACTTGGTAGAAAAAAAATATTGCACTGAGATTCCAAAGATGGCAGACTCATTGTGTAACCTTAGGCAAGTGCTTCTCCTGGGGAGACTTCAGCTTCCTCTTCTGTCAAATGAAGAAGCTGGATGACCCGAAAGGTTCCTTCCAGCTCTGATCACTGGATCTTCCCACAAATATTTAAATATTATGAAAGGGAAAGGTGGCAGTGTACAGAATGGGAAGTAAACTAAAGGTTAGATATAAAAAATAAAAAGATGAGAGAGAACAAACGGACACATCTGGAGGCCAGGGAGACAGAAATTAGTCCATGTCCACAGAAATACCACAAGCCATCAGGTAAAATGAACGGAGCCTCTAGGAAGTGTGAGTGAAAACCTGTCTTCTCTCTTTTGAAGGATATGGGGGGAAGTGGGAGGATATCACTTGGGCATTACAGGGAAACACTTCTAATGACATCCCATTCTTGTTCCTTCAAAATCACAACAATGTAGTTTTCCTGAGAAATATAGTTCATGGGATGTGACACTGTCAAGAAGGTCAAAAAAGCTTTCACTTGGGGCAGGTAGGTAGTATAATGGATAGAGCACCAGCCCTGGATTCAGGAGGACCTGAGCTCAAATCCAGTCTCAGACACATAACCCTTACTAGCTGTGTGACCCTGGGCAGGTCACTTAACCCCACTGCCTACCCAAAACAAAAACAATAACAAAAAAAAAAGCTTTCACCTAAGTGAGTAGTTTGATAATTATATATGGACATACCAGCAGCATTATGAATGGAAAATCAGAGAATAGCTGGAAAACAACAGAAGAGTTTTTGGTAGTTTTGTTGTGTTTTTTGGTTGTTTTTTTTAAAGATGATTCCGACTCTACTATAACAGTGGTGACTTTAAGGAAATGAGCTGGCAGCCACTGCACTGTGAGGGCCCTTGCTAATAGCAGAGCTTGAATTGGCTAGATAGGAAGGGATCAGCTGTGCTTTCAACTGTAAAACTTCCTGGCTCAGGAACAAAGTCTAATGGTTTTGGTGCATTAAAAGATGCAAGGATAGAGCTTAGCACAAAAATACATACTTAATGGACAGCCAGCGAGTCTCTACTAGTTTGGGTCAATGTTCATAGCATGCCTCTCCTATGATCCGCTCAGGAACCTCTCCTCCTTTAAGAGCCCTCTAACAAAATGTATCAGCATACAAACCATGGTAGCTGTCTTGTAGTACCTGCCACTGGGTCATTCTATATGTAACTAGCTCACTGTCTTCCTCTCTCCCTAAATCCTACCCTTATAACAGATTACCTCAATATTCATGCTCATGCTCCCTCAAAAGTCATAGTTTTCTACTTTCCCCAAATCCTATGACCTATTTCCTCTGCTCTACCTGTCATAGAGGGATGATCATACCCTGCATGTCACCACCAACCACAAGTGTTCCACTTCCACGATCAAAGATGCTCTACTTGATCCTAACCAATCATTCTCTCTTTATGTTTCCCCCAAAAACGCCCCTACTGTGACCTCCAATCCTTCTACTCCTCAGTAGGAATTATCCTGCTCTGATTCATTGTTCTCCTTTCCAAATCTCAATCCTACAGTTAATCAGTACGACTACCCACTGTCCTCCTCAACCCCTGAATCCCTTGTGCCCTTGGCCTACTGCCACTCATATTTTACCAGGCCCCACACCTACTTACCTGCTGTTAAAAGGAGCTGGACAGCTTAGCAACTCTGATCAACTCAATGATGTGTGACAATTCCAAAGGACTCATCATGAAGAATGCTATCCACCTCCAGAGAGAAAACTGATGGACTCTGAGTGCAGACTGAAGCCTGTTTTTTTTCCCCTCTCTCTCTTTTTATACAACATGGCTAATGTGGAAATGTTTTGCACAACTTCATATGTATAATGGGTATCACATTTCTTGCCTTCTCAATGGGTGGGGGAGGGTATGGAAGGAAGAAGAGAATTTGGAACTCAAAAATTAAAAAAAAAAAAGCAGCAGCACCTTGAAAAAGTCATACAATTGAGCTACCTGGGTCTACTATAAATGTATGCTCCTAACCCACCACTGGTCCAAAATTTCCTATTTGTGTTGAAGGTACCACTATGCTTGCAGTCTCCCAGGTTCACAATCTTGATGTTATTCTCTATCCCTCACTCTATAAACCCAATGAACTAGTTACCAAACACTGCTCTTAAATACTACTTTTTATTTTTGTGTTACTTCCATTTCCCACCGTATCCCTCCCTCCACCCCCTACCAGGGAGTCATCTCTTATAATAAGGAGCAGGCGAGGGCCAGAGGCCCAAAGGAGAAAGAAGCACAGAAAAGATGCCTTCTAATAGCTCTTTGATACCAAACTTGGATATTATTAATTTGACAGCATTCAATTGACTGGTTTTTGGTTGTTCTTTCCGTTTACATTGTCGTACCCATTGTATGCATGATTTCTTGTTCTACTTACTATATTTTTAAGTCAGTTGATCAAAGTCTTTCCATGGTTCTTTTTATTCATATTTATCATTTCTTACACAACAATAATATCCCATTACATTCACCTACCACAATTTCTTTAGTCCTTCCCCAATCAATGGGGTTATATTTTGTTTCTAGTTTTTTGCTATTAAAAGTGCTGTTATAAATAATTTGGTATATATGGGGGCCTTCCATTTTGTCACTGACCTCCTTGGGGTATATGCTTGTCTCTGGCTCAAAACGTATAGACACTTCAGTCATTTCTTTGCATAATTCCTAATTGTTTTCCAGAATGTCTGGACCAATTCACAGCTCCACCAAAAAAGTATTAGTATGGTTATCTTTCCATAACTCCTCCAATGCAGACAATTCTCATCTTTTGTCACCTTTGCCAGTTTGCAAAGTGCAAGGTAAAACCTCAGGGCTGTATGGCAAATCTTGCCACTTCCATCTCCACAAAATCTCCTGTATCCATCTCTTTCTCATTATTCACACAGGTCATCCTCAGCTCTCACCTGGACTATTAAAATACTCTCCTAATCGGTTTCTTTGCCTCAAGCATCTCCCCACTCCACTCCATCCCCACACAGCAGCCAAAGTGATTCTCCTTGATCACAGGTGTTAACTCATTTACTCACACTGCAATGACTCCCTTCTGCCTCTAGGATTAGATATAAACTCCTCATTATACATGACTCCCCTTTCCTTCTTGCCATTCCTTCTTCAGACTACTCCATGCCTTACCTGGGTCTCTGCACTACCTGTCCCAAGGCCAGAAAGGCTTTGTCCTCATCTGTCTCACAGAATCACTAACTTCCTTCAAGATTCAGTCCTAGTCTAGTACTTCCTTCTACACAAAGTCTTTCCTGGTCAACTATTAAGTACCCTCCCTCCTAAATTACCTTGTATTTATTGTGCATTACACGTGTACTTATTTAAGCCTGAGACTCTGAACAACTGTGTAACTCTGGGTAAGTCATTTAATTTCTGTTTGCCTCAAGTGTAAAACAGAGATCATCACAGTATCTATCTCTAAGCAATGTCATGAAGATCAAATTTGATAATATTTGTAAAACCTTTAGCACAGTGCCTGGCACACAGAAAGCACTTAATAAATGACCGTTCCCTTCCCCTCCCCTCCTCCTTCCAGTGCCCAGCACACGCACACACACACACACACACACACACACACACACACACACACACACACACACACACATATATAGACAATAAATAAATCCCAAAGTACGAGAAAAATAGCTGTAATATATGGCATTTTTCTGCCATCTAAACGTGCAGACCATTTTCTTCCATCAGTTCTTCTGTATCTTTGGAACAGTTCTATGAAGAAAAAGAGCAAAGTGAAGATTTCCCTGCCCAAACATCCAATATGTGGTGTGTCCACATGTGAGGTAGAAGGCTTTCCCCAAAGAAAAAGAGTGATGATGACAATGTCACAAAAGGTTTGGTGGACTGGTTCATCAGGGACTGGAATGACTGAAGAGGGAAAAGAAACATTTTAAAACTTGTACAGCCACAATCCACAGGCCTCACTACAGAGGGCAGGACCTAAAGTAGGTCTGCCCAAAACCATCGAAGACCAGAAAAGAGTGAATCATATTGACTTCTTACCTCGGGAGTACAAAGACAGATTAGATTAGTCAGCAGTCTCACCTGTGATGTTTTGCTGTCTCGTTCTCTAATTTTGTCCTTTACAAGTTTTATTAGTGAAGTGATGTTATAAAATTCAGCTTCCTCCAGCACTCCTGGTGTGAGATGAAAAAAAAAAGTCATTTTTTAAGGAACTATGCATAAAGTTTATAAATTGTTTTTAGAAAAGAAAATGAAATGACTCCTTGGAGGCTATTCTTGGTTGACATTTCTTTTAATAAGAATCAATTTTCCTTTGAGGAAACAGCTCTTCCCATCCCTTGACTTTTCCTCCATTTGGAGTCTCTCTACCTTAAAGGAATCTTCAAACCAAGTCCAGAAGGACTGTACAAAATAGACTATTTTGTTTCTTACAGATCATCAAAGAATAGCAAAACAATTCACACACATTCTTCAGAATGCAGACATTTGAGTGACAGGCAATCTGAATACCTGATTCAAGGCCAGAATAATAAAAAGAATAATAAAGCCTATACTTCTTATTTCCCTGGGCAGCTACACAGAATATGATTTTTAAGCACTAAAGAAATTTGAACTTCCATCACTCTCACAGTCCTTATCATTGTCAACATAAACAATACTGAATGGAACAATCCTCAATTCAACAATAGTTAAGCACCTACTATGTGCAGGGCACTGTTCCACACACTAGTGACACAGAGACAAAAATGAACTCTTCCCACTCTGCAAGGAACTTATGTTCTGCTGGAGGGGAGGGGGCAGGCAAGTAACAGATAACACAAATCTTTAAGTCTTGCCTGCCCGCGGAATGAAATTCAAATCATCTACCAGGTAATCAGTACTGAAACATAGTCTAGAGTTTGTGTCCTAACCTCTGATGCTGGTATTAAAGTGAGCTCCCTCAACCAACAGAAACAGAGCATCAGCTGTTCTGCAAATCTAGAGGGCTGCCCAGGGCACTAAGAGGTTAAATGATTGCCTCAGTGTCACACAGTCAATATGTTTCAGATTTGGGACCATCCCATTGTTATGGATCTACTTTGTACAGCACCTTACAATTTTCAAATGGTTTTTCATTACACCTTTCACATGGCTATGAATGAACTGGCATTTTGTTGCTGAGGGGTTTTGTCATTTGTTAAAGAGTTTTTCCTCCATCCTTCAGTTAGAAAAGGGCAAGATATATTTAAATAATAATACACCCCAACTGGTTCACATATAAGACACTCAAGAAAGAGCCATTATAATTCCCAAATGAACACCCTAAACTAAAGGGAGTCTTCTGCTAAGAAACATCCATTTTGACAATGTCTTTAAAAGATCTTTGTTTAGAAGAGATACTATAACATCAAGAGTTTTCCAAATTAAAGAAACATTACTAGAAATATCACAAAAGCTTTAGAACTGAAAAGATTTATCCTCCCAAAGAAATCTATTAGAGCTACCAAGTCTAAGTACCACTTCTGGGAAGAATGAAGACAGAATAAAAAGAGTATTACAAGTTGTCCTTTTAGGCCATCTCAATAGAGAAGGCCTCACCTCCAAGGTTGAGTTACAAAACTGGTCAGCAAGGGTTGGGATTGAGCTTGGTCTATGTACAGAGGATCTGGTTTCCAAGACAACCATGGTTGCCATTAACTAGGGTAAGGTAACACACATTACACATGAAAAACCCTTGGAATTAAGATCAAAAGACCTGGCCAGATCCTGATGCTACCACTTACCAGCTTTGTGACTCTCAGTCTCAATTTCCATTATCTGTAAATGGCTGTAGTTCCTACTTCAAAGAGTTGTTCTGAGGATCAATGAGACAGCCCAAAGGTACAAAGTAACTGATACTTATACAACATTTTACATTTTAGAAGGTGATGTCCTCACAACAATGCAAGTATTTTCCCCACCTTACAGATTTCCCCTTAATAAAAGGATTTGTTCTGTGAGGTTTGGATTCAGTCAAAGGGCCACACTCGAGGACTTAGAGGGCCACATGTAGCCTTGGGGCCACAGGTTCCTCATCCCTGTACTAAACCTTAATGCTCTGTAATTATAAGGCACCATATAGTAACCCAAGATATCACTATTACTGGTACAGAACACAAAAAAGAAATCGAACCCCCAGTACACTGGGAGTTCCCCTATGGATGACTTATGGGAAAACACAGACAAGAATGAGAGAGTAAGTAGGTATAAAGTGGCTGTGATCTTCATTAGTAGAGGAAATACAAGAAAATCACAGAACCAAAGTAATAAAGCATTCATAATAACTAGTGATGATGATGACTATTATTTATTAGTTAATTCAAGTCTGGAGGTGTAGAGACCCACAGACATGATACAAAGACACCATAAATCAGTAGTCTATAAAAGTAGTAGAATTTGTTCCTAAAGCAATAATCACTCAAAGAGAGAAACAAATACAATGTATACATGGACAATGAAACGTTATAGGCTTGCTATGCACAACAAGCATATCTTGAAATGAAGAACAGAAATTGATAAATATTAGCTACTAGGAAGCAGTTCTGAGTATGAATCATACGGTAAAAAAAAAAAACACACACATGACCAGTGGGTTTAGAAACAGGGGAAGAGGATAAGGTGAAACCTAAAATGTAAATGGATTGGTGAACATTTTAGCTGTATGATAAAGAAAGATGAAGTAAAGAAACTGGTAAAGCTAGGGGTTCATCTTCAACCATTAATTGTCTAATACGTGGAAAGCACTATATAAAGCAAAGAGATGTTCAAAGAGATAGAACCTGAAAACTTGAACCATCCTGAGATGTACCTGGCACTATTTTTCCTAAGTTAAATATCAGTCCATTTAAATAGCATTTAAACACTACACCAGACTTGCAAACATACAGTTTCATTTATAATTTCTTCTTTTTAGTGGTGGTATCAAATATTCGTGGTGTCACAGACATTCCAAGTGTCTTTTGCCACTTGCAAGCGTTTCTTTCAAACCAGTCAGGAAATGAGGGCCAAATACAGTATCTAAGTATGATGTCTTTATTATCTATTTTTATCCAAAGAATCTATGAAATGGCATAGGAGCTCTCCCTTTCCAAACAAACTTCTAGAACCACTACTTTTTAATACAGACTCTGAAATTAACTGAGGTCAAACCATGATCATAAGGATTCCTGGTTGAAGAAATCTGAGCAGAATTTAAAAGTATATTCCTATTTCAAATGATCTGGAACATTTAATTCAGAAAGGTACTTTGGAAACCTACATGAATATGAGCTGTTGTTATCTGAAAAGTCATTCACTTGTTCAAAGTACTAAGATTCCAGACTCCATCTTACTTATTTATATTTAAGAACATGAGTATGTCTACCACCAAGGTTATGAATTTCAAATCAAAAAGTGAATTGAAACAACCTACTCATTATCAGTTCGTGCTAAGAAACTACTACTACCATATTTTAAACCCTTGCAAGAAGAACTTCAATCTGGCATCACCAAATTATTCTAATAGACAGAGAAGGATGCAAAGTCTGAGACGTGGGTACCTGCCCTAGTCTGGATGACCCTTTCCTTCGGGGAAGCAGGGTATTAATTAGCATTTTTGTCTTAGAAACATTATGAGGACCCCAGTCACTCTGACCTTATTTCATCAAGGGAAACATGAAGCAGAAAGTGTTCAACTTACCCTCCTCTGCGAGGTCCTTATTAATGACCAGTTTTCCATGTCTCAAATAGTTCAGGACTGGCCCAAAATAGGTGGGATCTCTGTCTATTAAATAGGCACCTGTTTCATCCTACAATAAACAAAATATTGGTGAAATAAATTCCAATCAATTCAATAAACATTAAGGATCTAATATGTGCATAACATTAAGCTAGGTAAAAGGTACAACCAAGGTGGTCTGAACATGTCCCTGTTCACAAAATCATAATGTTGGAGGGAACCTCATGTTACCTATGATCCAGGCCAACCCATTTCTTAATGTAAAATTCAACCTCCATTTGAACTCTTCCATTGAGGAGGACTTCATTATTTATCATGAGGCAGCCCATTCTGCTTTAGATAATGCCAATTAATTGTTATAAAGATTTCCTGTCTCTGAGACTAAATTTTCCTCCCCTAAACTTCAATCCATTGTGGCTACCTCAGCCCCTTGGGGTAAAGCTGAATAAACTGAATCCTCACCTACATGCAGCACTAAAAATTCTGGAACACACCTTCTCCTCAGTGGTCTTTTCTTCCTGTTAAACAGTCTCAGACCCTCTAACAGCACCTAATTAGTATCACTCCTAAGATGTGGTCCCTGGAACAAAAACACAACACCTAAGATGTGGTCTGACCAGACAAAAGCACAACAGGACAGTGGTCTTCCTTATTCCAGACACTCTGATTTCTTTCATGCAGCCCATGATCACATAAGCTCCACTGGCTGCTCTGCACACTGATGACCTGAACCGAACTTAGAAACACCTCCACAACTCTTCCACACAATCTTGCTTAGCCATGTCTTTCCCATCTTGTATCATGTAGTTGCTTTTTTGGATCAACTCTGCAACATTCTCCAGGATTACCCAGGAGTTTAGACAGGCAACATGGCATACAGACTATGTAGTGAAAAAGACTTCAGTTCAAATCCTACCTCTGACAGTACTAGCTGGGTGAATATGGGCAATTTCATGGGTTAACCTTTCAGTGTGCCAAGCAATCCTCTAAAACTCTAACTAACAGATAAGTTGCTGATCTTCATCAGTGGAGGTAGTTTTCCCTTCAGGAACTCCTTATACCAATGAATCTATAAATCAGGACCAAAAGTAAAAGTGAGAATTAGAAAGGACTTTAGTATTCATCTAGTCCATAGGTTCCCAAAGTTATCTGGCCTACTGCCCCCTTTTCTTTCTTTCTTTCTCTTTTTTTTTTGGCTAGGCAAGGGTGGTTAAGTGACTTGCCCAGGGACACACAGCAAGTGTCAAGTGTCTGAAGCCAAATTTCAACTCAGGTCCTCCTGACTCCAGGGCCAGTGCTCTATCTACTGCACCACCAAGCTGCCCCAATTGCCCCCTTTAAATAAAAATTACTCAATGCCCCCCACGGAAATCTTACAAACTAGGAAAGAAGTCTCATATTAAGTGTACAACTGCACCCAAGGCTACCATTGCCCCCCCCCGGATCATTCCAGCACCCTCCAAGAGGTGGAATTACCCACTTTCAGAACTTTTGAATTCTAGTCCTACTCTTTGATTTTAGAGATAAAGAGAGAAACCCAGAGAAGTAAATTACCCAACCAAGATCGCAGAGGTAAGTAGTGAGTAGCAGAGGTGGGATCTGAACTCAGTGCTCTTTCTATTAAAAGACACTGCCCCTGGAATGAGTGACGGAACATAAGGCAAGGCTGAGCACTTATAGGAGATACAGAAAAAGAGACTGTAGAGGTCCTTGAACACCAAAACCAGGGCCTTAAATTCAAGTAAGTTCCAGCAATAACATTTCTGTCCCAGTCATAAATCAGGAATATTACTTAGGCATGATGTAAAGGGTGGGCTGGAAAGGGAATAGATTGGAAGCAGGAAACCTAATAAGGAATTAGAACATTAAGTTTGACAACGAATTCACTAGAATGAACACTGAAAATGTATACCCTTTGTTACTCTGAAAGATCATGTCATTTCCCTCTGAGTTTTCCCTTCTATGCCTTAACCAACAGGCTTCATGAAGTCTTGTGGCCAAGAAACTTAAGAGGCAGACTTTCTGGTGATGAGCTTCTTTGAACATAAGCTGGTCCCTGAACATCAGATACAAAATTGGTTATGGAGCCTACAATCAAGGCTCCTCCAACTTCAAAAAGGACCTGCCAGAGCTTGTATTCCACTAGAATAGCTTATAGATCTAATATGAACTAATAAATGAGTATGCCGTTTCTAAGAGGCCAAAATCAGTTTATGAAGTCATACGAATAATCTTTATTTGTAGTAAATTTTTCCTCGTAAGGAATGTGCAGTGCTATCTCAAACCACCAAATTTCTGAATCTTATTGTGCTACGCAAGGTAAAGTAGATACACTCCGTTTCTTAGTTAAGAAGACTTCTTAATAGGAACCTACAGTCCTGCGGGAGGCAAGACAAGACATCTCCCCTTAGGAACCTACCTATCTATGAAATTATACAAGATGGGGAAATTTGAGAGGGGGCCACAATTTACTTGTTTCTCCTTATTTCTACTCTGGTGGAGGTTGTAGTTTTTTAACATCGTACAAGTCCCCAAATTAATAAAACTTAAATTCTTCATTCATAAATGTATAAATTACATTATAAATTCTTAAGAGCACAGGAGTTTGGCTTAACTTCTAACTGGCACTGAAAAGGTGCTAAGAGGGCAATGTGATTTACGTTCTGATTTCTGTCTGTATTTTATAGAGGCACTGACTGAGGACTCACTGATATTCAGTCAAAGGACCTAAAAAACGAAGGATACTTAGCCCAGATAAAGAAGACTTCTTCTTGTTGAGCCGTTTCAGCCATGTCTGACTCTTCATGACTCATCTGGGGCCTTTCTGGCAAAGCTACTAGAGAGATTTACCATTCCCTTCTCCAACTCACTGGACAGATGAGGAAACTGAGGCAAACCAGGTTAAATGACTTGCCCAGGGTCACACAACTAGTGAGTGTCTGAGGGTCGATTTTGAGGAAGATGAATCTTCCTGATTCCAAGCCCAGTACTCTATTCACTGCGCCCCCTAGCTCACCACGGAGAAGACTAAGAAAGTACATAATCACCATCTCAACATATGTGAAAGGCGGGCAAATGGATGAAGGAACATATTTACTCCATTCGGCACCAGAACAAAGAACTAAGGCCAATACGTGGAAACTACAGGAATACGATCAGTGCTCTTTAAATATGGAACCCCGAAGATAACGGTGGACTTACTATCATTGGAGGTCTTTAAATAGAGTAGACTTAAAGACCACTTGGAAACAGAGAAGATTATTCTTCCCACAATCACAGAATTTGGGCTGGAAGAGAATTCATCTGCTCTCCAGTCCAATCTCACAGCCAAAAGGAATCTTCTCTTCCCATCCCCAATAACATACATGACAACTGGTCATCCAGGATCTGCTTTGAGGACCTCCAAGGAGGGAGCATTCACTACTCTGGAGGCATCCCATTCCACACATGGACAATTCTCATTGGTAGGAATGTTTGCCCGACATCAAGCCAAAATGGACCTCTCTGAAACTTCTACCCACCACTCCTGGTTCTGTACTCTCAAGCCAAAAAGAAACAAACCTATTATCTCCTCCACATAATAGGCCTTCAAATACTTGAAGACAGCTATCACATCCCCTTTTCTCTGATCCAGGATAATTCCATCCCCACTTCCTTTGGCAAATCCTCCATATGTCATAGACTTAAGGCCTTCATCATCCCGGTTGCCCTCCACTGGACACTCTCCAGCATATCAATGTCCTCCTTAAACGGTAGCACCCAGAACTGAACACAGTACTCCAGATGAGAGCTCACTGACTGATGAAGTCAGAATGCACTGAGAGTATAACATTCCTATTCCTGAAGCTACACCTCTCTCGATTGAGCTCAGGAACACGTTAGCTTTGGCTGTCACATAACACTGCTGACTCATTATTAAGCTTGCACTCCACTAAAGTTTCCGGATGTTTTTCAAAATTCTCTAACCATGTTCTCTAACCATGTCTCCCCTTCCTCTTGTACTTGTGAAGTTTTTTTTTTGGTATTTATCCCTAATGAATGTTATTCTATTAGATTCAGCCTAATGTTCCGGCCTGTCAAGAACCTTCCGAATCCAGATCCAGAGTCAGACTCAATAAACATTAAGTGCCTTCTACGCACACTGTACTATGTGCTAAGCACTGGAGATAAAAAGAAAGGGATAAGACAGTCCCTGTCCTCAAGGAGCTCACAATCTAACAGGGGGAAGACAACACATAAAAAGAACCTGGGAAAGGCAGAAGGGCAGGGAGAGAGGAGAGTGGCTGAGATGGGAAAGGATCTGAGAAGGTGTGAGCTATCCCCTGTGTCTGCCAGTCTTCCCAGTTTTGTGTCATCTGCACATCTGATAAGGGTGCTATTTATGCTTTTATTGAAGTCACTGATAACAATGTTAAACAGCACAGGACCAAGCACATACCACCTACCACACTGATATAAAACCATTAACAGCTAACTACTCTTTTAATCTGGCCATTCTCATCAGTTCTGAATCTATCTAATTACATTCATGACTAGATTATCTTACTTTATCTTCTCCACAGAATGAGATACTTTATTAAAAGCTCATTGCTTTAATCTACTATTTTAGTAATCTTGTCAGAAAGGAAGTTAGTCTGGTATGACCTATTCTTGATTATGGATAGAGAGATATTGTACATCCTTTGCACTTGAAGAGGACCAATGACACCCCAATGTTAGGGTCAAGGCACAGTGTGTTCAACTGTGGCTAATAAGTTCAACATGAGCTTGGAAGGCTCTACCACAGGTCAGGCACAAATAGTCCATTTGAACATTTGGGATGGAGATGTCTTTAGATTTGCATATCTCATGTTTCCTTTGTGCTACTGCAATTCTGTTTTACTCATCACCTTCTTTGATGTAGGTGTACTATGATGGGCAGTCCTATGCCAGCATTTCCCTTTCTCCCAAGTCTCACAATTGATACTAAAGCTCTTTAGAGACCTTGAGAGTGTCCTCGCACCACTTCTTCTGACCACCGTGTGAAGGCTTGCCTTGTGTGAGTTCTCTGTGAAGCAGACTTTTAGGTAA